GAAACATTTGTGTCCGTCAGACAATTACTTAGGCAGCTGTGAGAAAAGCGACAACATTGTCGTCGTCATGGGCGTGCACGGAATTGCTGCGTTTCTTTGGTCCACCAGATACCAAGCAATTATATTTACTTATTTTATAAAACGATTTGCTTTTATCGGCAACGAAGATGCGTAGGTAAATGTTAACGGTGCCGGACAAACACAACGTTCGTTTGTGAGAAAATCACACATTATCGCTTTAATAAAAATCTCGGCGTGGCCACTATAATTAAATCGGTAAAAAAAAGGTAATGTACGTACTCGTCATATCGAAGAACCTGCACTCATTAAACGGAAATTTTAATGATTCACCGTAGTAATTAAGCGGGTGTTTTTGGTAATAGATTACCTGCTGGCCGCATATTCGAGAACGTTCACAGTTTAACGCGTACTTATAAATTAATTAATTAATATTTGAGTCGTAGTACTAACAACAAAAATTGACAACAAAGAACTTTAAGTAGGTACTCACAATGTTTAGTAGAAATTACCATCCTAATGAACCTTTCAGGCAGTAGCTTAGAAACGGGGCGGGCTACCGAGTAGCCTCAAACATGTAAACGGAATACACGTACACCTTGTGCCAAATAAAACGATCTGTAAACCCAGAGGAGATACGAAAAATGGATTCGTACAAAAGTTTCTTGGACTCTCCTTAAGATTTAAAATATTATAATTTTGTTAACTCAATAGTGTCTCTTCCGACATCAAGTTTGTTATTTTAAATGGAACACCCTGTGTATATATCGACATTTTTGGAATCCTTGGTTAAAATAAAGGTAACTTTCTTAAGAAATTCCTATTCGAATTTTGCATATTTTAGGCAGAAATTGAGGTTATGTGTTTTTTTTTTCATTTTGATCGCCCCATATAAAATTGTGTTGTACACTACTGATGCAAGTATTGCAACGAAAATTTAACCATAGACTAAGGAAATGATGCACTGCTCAATCAGTTTGATAGATGGGCCTCAGCTAATACAGGGTGTCTCAAATATTTGGTGCCGTTCTGGCGAATTGTTAGCAGTAGGTTTTATTCGTATATCTGCAGAAGTAATATCGTGTCTTTGCTATTTAAAAAATATTGCCAACAAGTGACCTGATGAAGCTTTAAATTCAACAAGAGTTTATACGGGTGTTATCTTAAACCTCTAAATCTCAAAAAGTAGAAAAATTTAAATATAAGATAAATTACAAACTTACATTGTTTTTTGTCCTAGAATTGATATCTGAATAATAATATAGGGTGTTCAATTTGAAAATCTTGCCAAAACGGCACTACCTATATGGGATATCCTGTATACGCGGAGGCGCATCTGTCCAGCTGATTGAGTAGTGCATCGTCTCCATAGTTTGTGATTAAATTGTCGTTGAATTACCTGGATCAGTTGCGTCACAACACAATTTTATATGGGGCAATCAAAATATGAAAAAAAAAACACGACCTCAAAATTTTCTTAAGGAAGTGACCTTTATTTTAAGCAAGTATTCCTAAAATGTCGATATATACAGGGTGTTGCACTTAATATAACAAAGTTGATACCGGAGGGGACACCCTGCATCAACAAAATTATAATATTTTAAATCTTTAGGAGAGTCCAAGAAACTTTTGAATGAAACTTTTTTTCGCATCTCCTACGGGTTTCTAGATCATATAGTGGGTCGTTTTATGTGGCACACAGTGTACACCGCTGGACAAGATTGGCAAAAGGCAGATAATAAATCAAACAAATTCAAATAATGTTTTATCTACCATGGTTTGCATTAATTGGAGTATAAAATAATGAAAAATTCATGCAAGAAAGTTCGAAAAAGTTAGATACCTCTCCTAGTGTGTGCGAAAACAGTCCAGATGGATGACGTCATGAACTAGTAAATCAGTCTCTTTAATAACGTGTCCTCGGTGTTACTTGAGATTCTGTGATTCTAGAACTATCTATAGTTTATATTAAAAGAACCCTAACAGATAGAAAACTATAAGTAAAGAATAAAATTAACATCCAAATTCTATCCATTTGGCGTTTTATATTTGGTTGCTGTATTATGACGGCATTGTGTTTCTAATGGAATCCGTGAAAAGCTGATGTTCGACTTTCACGATGCAATTTATCGCGACTACAAAAGTAGCATGACCTTGAGTCGTTCTCACGACCAACTCTAATTCTAATTTCAGTCTAGAAGTTACTTGGTAGGTAATTTTCGTAGTTTTTTTTCCTGCTAACTGAAAACTTTAAATTCGGGTTACAAAAATTTCAGATATTAACCGAATTTTTGCCAGTTTGTTTAAACAGCAACACTTAAATTGAGATCTGTGCATATTTTGAGAAAATACTGTCGAACTGCCGACTGTGAGCTGCCATGTTTAAGGTCGCGATGTCTTATGCCCTTGCGTGCCCATACCCATGCCACATTTTTTGGTGTTAGTTTTAAAAGTGCCTACATTACATTACAGCCGAATATGAGTTGCCGCCTTCCGAGAGTAGTAGCAGATGAGTTCGCCTTAGTTAACATTTACCTTGGCAATCCCGTTTACTTCAATGTGTGAGACGTATTTTATCCTGAAGTCCCAATAACTACTAAACTCTCTCTTTTTTTGCACATACTGTTTTCTCACTCTGTAAATGTTTATTACTCATTGTTAAATACCAATTTTTTTGCTTAAATTAAAACCACATTGATGAAACTCACGTATATGCAGTGTTTCATTTGCGTTGGATTTCTTGACCAATTATTCTCGTTTTAGGATTGAAGTGTAATGGATAGGCATAGTCACGATAAAATAAACTTTTAATCATGACTGACGGAGATAGTCACGGAACTTATCATTTTCTGGTGATTTTCATTCCAATGCGGTTTGATGTATCAGGGCGGACTCAGGTGATACCAAAAGACCAAACTATTTGACATATCATTAGTGTGTGTTTTTTACTAATAACAAGTCAACAACAAATCTCTAAAAATTGAAAAAATATTTCAAGATCAACAAATATGCAAATTGTTCAAAAAAGAATCGGGGGATGTCAGAGGCAGGAATAGATATCGATAGGTTAGACAGAGAGGTAATTTTAATTCTGCTCGTAGTTAGGTGCAGTAATAATAATAATAAGTGTTTCTATTGAAAATTCGATAAATCCAACTAGATATTCTTAGGCTTGTAAGAATACCAATTTTTGATATAACTTTGAAATCTTATTGATACATTGGAAACACCGTGTCGAGGTAGCTCAAAGTATATTTAATTATTTTATATTTATTATTTACATTTTCAAAAATCTAAGAACAAACTTTAACAATCTGCTTATAAAGAAGGCCTTTCAAGCCCTTTACTTTACTGAGAAGGATATTCGTTAACACATGGCATTAAGCAAATAATAAAAATCATCTTTACCCCATAAGCAATAACTCAAAATTGATTAATTGTAGTTGGTTCTTGGTTTCGTTTATTCCTCTTAATTGGCTCTTGCTTTATGTACAATAATAGGGCTTGAGGGTCTAGCATCAACTTTAATTTTTTTGCACATAATCATTTAGATTTTAGATCTCGGATTATACGATACTAACAAGCCCACAACCAGTCACACAAATTTTGATTATTTTTTGAATGTAAAAATAAAATCGTTAATGAAAGGGTTCTGCACTTTTTCCCATGCCCCAAACGGCCGTTCATAGCAAGACTCTCGGTAGCACATCAAGAGCTGGGAAAAAGCGCTAGATTCGGTACGGTTCATATAAATTTCTGCAAAGAGCTTTCGTGTCTGAAAAAACTGAAAAAACAAGCGCGATCCACCAGCCTTATTCGGCAGGCAAACAATTATATTATGTTATAAAAATAAATTTGTTTAATTTATTTCACATTTATTTTTTACTATTTTACCTTTTGGATGTACGTGAACCTATTACTAATTTTTTTAATACAATTACGTATTTTTTCATAAACAGGATTAAAATGGTTCTTGACTGAATCAGATTTGTTATAAATAAATCCGTCATGGTGTCATATTTGAATGAATTTTATCTTAATTAACTTGATAATATTTAATAGGTATTTGAGTTAGACTAGGTTAGCGAAATTTGCAATAAAGTGTTAATAAACTCGCGGGCAAAATATTTTAATCGTAAATTATATTGTCCTCAAGTTTATTATAAATGAGATCTAAAATAAGGCACGATAGTAAAACTGACTTGTTATCGGATATATGCAATTATTAAAAAATCTTTAAGCACTTACGAATTTCAAACTAATCAACAATGTACCGATTGATACCCTAAGTTCGCTTCTAGTACCAATCAAAATCAATTCCGCTTGACCGGTTCTTAATAAAAGTCACACGTTTAAATGTAATAAGTAAACAAGGCAATTGTCGATTCATGGAACACATCACGATTATTAAAAGGGGGGGGGGCGGAAGATCAAGAAGAAAAAAATGAAAATCGGTATCGCCACTACTCCTACGAACCTGCAAAGCTCCAAAGAATAAGGAAACCCTCCCGATATTTATTTCCTTTCGCAGTCCGCCGTATAGCGGGCCTTAAAGTAAATAAAATCAATACAGCACTAAAAATTAGTAAGTGGACAATGGCGCGCAATGGCAAAAATTCGGGGTATGCGCAAAAATAGAGAGGCGAACACGTAAAAACGGCCCATTTAAAAACTACGCTCCTGCGGCGCAATAATCAAATCCCTTTGTGATTGGTTGCCGATAATTGCAAAATCAATAAATCCCCGATCCGCCGATGCATCTTAATTGACCCTCCTCGTTAATTTTTGCCACGGTCTAAAATAAGTAGAATCGCCATCTAATATTCTTACTAGATTTTTCGTTCAAAAAAAATAAAAACCTTCAAATTGCGGCGCGGAGCGACCAAATCGCGAAAAATTGGCAGTTCCGCGGCAAATAGTCAATTTCGTTTTGTTGATACGGCGGCGGAATGATCGAAGCGAGCGATGTAAATAATACTCACGTGCCAAAACATTATCACCTCGCGCGGATGCTCTTCCACACTTGTCACAACCGACGGCGATAATTATAATAAATAAATCCCCCGCACATGTAGGCACCACCGCGATCAACAATAATACACGAGAACGCACGGCAACCATCAACCAGCAACGCCGCGGCCGACAATACAGTGCAAGGGGCCGAAACGATTGCAATTGTTTGAAACAATCGCTACTACTCGCAGAGAGAGCAGCAGTCCTTAGCCCGCTTGATTCGTGCAGAACACTTGCGCGTTAACCTGCCCGTCTGCTCGCCGCCTGCCAAGATTTGAGCGTACTTGCTCTCCGTGCCACTTACTCTAACCTATAAACCGTCATGGCCGCCCCGGTTCGAAACCGGGTGGAGCGGAGGCGACGACGCCGCGGGTGCAGCGCGCTGCATTTTTTTGTTCGAGGGGGATGATGACGATGACGGCGAACATCGAAAATTTGCGTGTGGAGGTGTCAATTATCGCGCGTCGCTCTCGATGTTGCGAGGTGTTTAGATAAATGTCGCGAATAATTGCCTGTTGGGTAGTTTCAATTCGGTTCGTTTATTGTTCAAATGAATCGCGTTTTTATAACATTATTTTATTACTATTATTAATTAGTATGAAAAAAAAAAGTAACATCAATGTTCGCCATGACCAAACTCGTAAGCTTAAAGATAATGGTAGTAACATATTTAGTTAAAAGCGACCTCATCGAGTAATTATTGTTACCCACATAATGTCAGCTAAATAAGTCGAAATCTGTTCACGTAGTTGCCTTGTCGTTTGGCAGTTTTTTCTTATGTTATGTTATTTAATGTAATGGTAAACTTTTTTAAGCAAAAATATCTAAATCTTTGGGACTTACGCAAACTACATTCTGTCGACATTCTGGTAAAACTTTCATTGAAAATGGCAGTGGCAGTGGTAGCTGAATTCATTGAATTTAAGAACATGCTACTCCATTACAAATATTCTCCTGTGGAACATTTGCTTTGCTTCACTTCAGATTTATGGTAAAAATACTATACCAAAAACTATTACAGTTCTTGAGCGCAGCTTTCGATAGGTTTATTTGCAACTAAATGGTATAAAGTTGGTATGGTACGCAGGTACCTCAAAAATACATAAAATAGAGACTCCTTCTCGTGCAATTTATGGAACTCATCTTAGTCTTGAAGTATACACTATTGAACCTCATTTTCCTGCAACTCATTGAGTTGATCCTTATTTAAGCGATACTTTAAGTATATAAAAGGAAAATCAAAATTCCAGTATTTATTTAGAGAGAACATCCTACGCGTTAATTTTGCTTCATTTCAAATTTCTGGTAAAACTACTATACCAGAAACTATTACACAGATTTTTAAGCTCAGCTGGCAATAGATTTTCACTAAGTGGTATAAAATGTTGGTATGGTAGGTAGGTATCTCAAAAATACATACAGCTAATAATCGTCTTTATCGTTATTCCTCGAGCACTTCTGGTATGTATTGAGGGAGCTCCAATTGGAATTAGGCTTTATATACTATATTTTTCCTCTTACTTTTGTTGAGAGCTGTAACCAAAACTTTCCAACACAATTCTAGCTTTCCCGAAGGAGAAGCAAGGATCAAATATAAAATACACCAGCTAAAGAAAAAGGCTTGAAGATCCCTGAGATTTCTGAGGAATGACTAATCTTTCCATAAGTAGAAATTTAACACAAAAAATTTCTTAAGCGTTGCTTTCAGACAATCAGAATTTTTTTTAGCAATAATAGTTTTTCAAAGAGAACATGAAATATTCAAATTAGTAATATAAATATTTACTTACCCAAACTTCATTCTGTTGATATTCTGGTAAAACTTTTATGAAAAATGGCAATGCCCGGGGTAGCTGAATTCATTGATTGCATAAGGAATAAGATGACATTGTTTCCAAAGTAGTTCATGCTCTGAAAAGTTTTTACGATCTCGGAGAAAGACAACAATAATTTTAGAGGGTTTAACCCATTCATAGCCCATGTCATCATTAATATTAATTAATATAATTACTAGATTTTCTTTCACATATGATCTCTAGTGGGGCGGCGTCTGTGTTTATGCTCGCTATCACTGTTTAGGCTTCTCAGACTTATATAGATATGTTGTTGGTTGTTTTTATGAATACCATACTTGTACCGGTCCTTGGCTTAACTTTTATACTTTGTGCATATTCAATTTAAGGTAGCTAGACCTGACAGTCTGACTATCTCGTTGCAAAAGGTATTTATTGTTCCATCAAGCGCAACTCGCCTGTAACGTTTCTACTTCTAACGATGTGGCAAAAGTGCGCTAAGTAATATAATAACAGAAAATTATAAAATCGTATAAAAAATAAAATGCAATAATATGAGTTTTATTTTTCATAAATATATATCGAAGTGATATCTGAATAGGCTACTGAAGAGCGTCAATATCTTCTTACTATACTAAAATACCGAAGAAAGAAAGTTTATTTAATATTTATTCTGATCTATTAGTTGAAAAAAACTTAAGTACTTCGCTTCAACGTGAATACAAATTAATACAAAGGCAAATCTGAAAATGTTTTTCATGGTTTGCTTTTGGGTATTTTAGTAATATTGTTTACCCCTTGTCCACGACGAATAGTTTCCGAGATAGGAAACAGTAAGACATTCTTATTTGGCCACCCTGTAAAATTGTTACCTGTCTCTAGAAAAAAAAGCATATCAGGATAATAAATAGCAGTTTAAGAAGCTTAGTATACACAATAAGTCTCTGTTAGGAAAATAGTAAAATTTTGATATAACTTCACTGGTTCAAAAAATAAATATAGGTAAAAACGAAAAATACGTGACAGTATGATTGACAAATGAGACTTCCTTTTTCCCCAAAAACACAGTTAATTTTTTCAAACCCAGTGGTCACGTCATGCAGATAGTACTCCTGATGCGGTTTAGGTTTAAATAATATTAAATTAATATCCATTTGAAGCAAAATTTTTGAAAAAAAAAATTATTAAATAATTAGAACTATTTCCCGCTTGAGATTTCCAAAATTGGTGTAAGTTATGCCTAACTAATAATCAAAAGAAAAGAAAATGCCTTGTCCTCCTTCCCTCTCTTTTAAAATATTATCTTATATCATAATGAATGTAAGAAAAAATCGAAACAAAAATCTTTTCTTGGAAGTGTTATCCGGTTAAAACTGAAAAAATGCAATGCAAATTAACATTTTTTACGTTACGACATCAGATAAAATAAGCAAACGTCTCTAAGTTTTGCGGATATTTAAGGACTCAGGAAAAAGTCGACACATTATATTCCAAGTATCCCCGACGTACTCAAAGCGTTTTTGTTTCTTCAATTGTATTAGCCGGATAAGTCAGGTTTGTAATTTAATTCTCCACCTGTATCTTTCAAACGCAGCCACGCGTCCAAATTAAGCGCGATCGGCAAAGGAATTTTTCGCAAATTACTCACTTGCAAACGTCCGTCGACCACGATCACACCACGCATCGCGCACTACATCGGCAGTGCGTATTGACAAAACTAGGGAATTGTAATAATCCCCGTTTGTAGGTAGTTGAAATGTTCATGACTGAAATAATGCGTTGGTGCGGCGGTGGTCGAAAATCGTAACACAGCGTACCATACGCAATTCCGCCTCCTGACCCCTCGACCTCTTGCCCCTAGTCGTCGGCTTGTGTATACGTCAGGCGTATATTTCGGTCTTCCGCCCTTACTGCATCCCTTCACCCCTCGCGACGCCAACGAAAAACAAACCAAATCGATTTCGGGATCCCTTATCCGATATTCGCTTGCAATATAGTTTCTCGGCCTGGATATGTACGAATGGTTTGTACGGGGGTGGCACGAAAAGTTTAGCGAAATGATAATTTTATCGAATTGCTCACATAATCCAGGACTTCTTAATTTGTTTTACATGGTGAACCCGGAACAAATTCCCCTAAATGCTGAAAATTGGGAGTACTATTTAACATACTAAAAGTGCCCAACTCTACGAGAGTGACAACTTTTCCAAGAACCACCCCAAAAGTAAATTTTTTCATTTTTTGACGAATATATTCATTATTTTTTTTATGAAAAAGGACAAGGTACCAGATTTAAAGATTATAAAATTCCCTATAAAATACAAGGGGTTGAAATAGATGAAAAATACAAATTAGGATTAGTAGTGCAAGAAAGTGAAACATTTCTCGTTTATGAATAAATTGGTTAGTATCTATAACCAAACTGCCTCTGTTAATCGTAGTATACTTTTTAACAGAATTACTTGTACCTTGTTGTACCTACAAATCGAAGGATGAGCTAATCACTTGTTTTTTGTACGAACTTTCACCAAATCCTTTGGCTCTTTTTAAAAAAGTCTGTTCGAGAAAAACTACGAAAATCGACTTTATACAAAATATTTCACAAAAAGTGCTTGCCTACAAAGCCCCACCCGATTTCACAAGATTGTTTGGCAATTTTTTAAATATATACCGTATATCATTATGGAAAAAAAGCACCATTGTTTTTGCTAATGACTCAAAGGTAATAACAAGAACAGATTCGAAGATATCAAATAGTATCTTAATCAACTGCAGCTCCTCTATCTCAATCAAGCTATTTTCCAACAAAATCAATAAACAACGTTTTATGTTACAACTTAGTAAACACCTAGAATAATCTGGTGTATCAGTACACCATGCAGAAGGTGATGCCGACCATCTGATAGTCGACAGATGAATCGAATTGAGAAACACTCAAAACTCTGCGACTCTGGTCTTACTTTATGGTAAAAAGGAGACGATTTATAAGTTAACGCAAAACCTGACAAGCTTACTAAAAGTGTAAATCTACAAGAAAAGCTAGGTTCAATGTTCTCCCATGCTAGTTAAGGCATACACTACTTCCGCTTTGTTTAAGAAGGGAAAGCTTACCTGTAAAACTATTAGAAAAAAGGGAAGATATGCAGCAAATTCTAGAATATTTTCTAAAACCGAAATAATAAAATCTTGAAAAAGTCTAGATAATCTGCGATATATTAAATATACAATTACAACTGCCAGACAAGGGCTAAATAAAATCTTTGAATTTGAATCTTTACCCCAACATCTGACTGCAGTCTACTATTTTAAGAGGGTCTATTTTCAAATCTAAAGCTGGATCAACAAAACAATACCATGAATTTTCTGCAATAACGTCTACAAAGAGCAAGATTCTGTGAAAGATGAGTTTTAGGTAATGAATATATTAATATATCAACCTGCTGCCTTCAGATTTTACTTGTTTG